CACAGTATGACAGATTAGGCTCGCAAAATAGAGCGACTTGTGCCACGAATCACTTAGGACAAAGAAATGTAAAGAAAAGCGCGAAAAAAATGTGGAAAGCTCGAAACGTCTAAAGTGACTGTGCAATTGAGAACATCTTGAAATCTTAAAATATTCAACAAAATGTCAGAATTTGCGGGGATCGGCCGCAGCTGAATGAACTCCGTGTTTGTTTTCACAAAATGAAAGCGCAACATGCAAAAAAGCCAGTTGCGTTTCAGCTGATATTTCGGAGCACCTGATTTCAGGATCACCTGAGCACAAACCCAGAAGTTCCCATGATTCAGAAAGATAAATCAGACATGTGACTAGGTAAACTATCCTGACCCGAAAATAGCGTCCAAAAAACCGACAAAATTGAATAGTACAACATTAGGATCGACGAATCCCTGCCGAGATACGCCACGCATTTCATCTATGCTGAATCGTAATATCGTTTGAATGAGACAAGGCCTACACATTGGCATGTGAGCCCAGCCGAAGTATAGGCCCAATATTCAAATCTTTCAGGACCTATTACGAATTAATCGATCCTGAAGGGATGGATGGTTCGGTTGCCCTGGATTAGACCCCTGACCGCACATGGTGAACGGCGCCACTAGTTACTGCATCACTGCTGCACTTGATAACCATTATCACAAGGAAGCTAACCATTCTTCGTCGTTTGGTACTGTACAGGTGAGCTTGACATTGTCACCCTCGTAGATTTCCTTCGGATCCTCCTGCGATGTTGCATGGGTAGAACGTGTCCAGCTTGTCTTCACAAAAGGCTCACTTTCAGACGCTCGAACTCGTTTAACTTCGAAGCTGGTCTAAATGAGATCGTTAAACAGTACGGGCATAATGGGATTGTAAAGATAAGAACTGGATAGGTCCGGAAGTGTTGCTCACCTTTCCATCGCGTTCCCCTTCACATTTCAAGTCAAGATCGTCCTGAACCGTAGTATTCCAGATGTAGCCGCTTTCATACGTTCCTTTCAGTTCGACCAACTCTGATCTGTCAATGTCGATCCATGGAGCAGCTGATGAGGGGCTGAATAATACTTATTACCTATAACATTATGAGCGAAAACAGATTGAAATAAGGACGAAATGAATTGAAATTTCGGGTCAGGGAACGGGTAATTTGAGAATTATATGAGTACAATTGAATTCCAAATCGCCGCCGCAACACGGAAAATCCAACTTGAGGAAATCCCAAAGGCTAGACTCCTTGAATTCATTGCACTTAAACTAGAGCCGCATTAAATAACTACGGAAAGTAGGGTGTGGTGGGGAATGGTCGACGACAGTTGGAGGTTTCGCCTGTACAGCCCCGCCTTCCGCACGGAAACTTCACTCTCGCCACGCGCGAGCCGTCTGTGCTCTCCGCGCGTACATTCACTCTCGACACTACTCTCACACAGTACAGAGTCATGGTCGAGGAAAACCTCGATCGCTTATTCACCCTGACAGAAAGTCTACTGGGTCATGTGCAGTGCGAGTTTTTGCAGTACGTACAAGGGAGAGAGGAACCTACCAGTGTGCATTTCACCAGAAAAAAAAAACAGAAATTTCATGGAGCAGCTGGGTCTGCAGTCTTCTGTTAAGGAGACCCCAGCCTATTGCGGTTTGCTTCAATGCAAATGACAAAGTACAGCTACTGAAGCACTAGCAGGGTATGCATCTTAGGGACAGGGCTGGTTACCATGTAGCGCGCTTCTGGATAAATTCTATCTTGATATCCTACCCTTTCATTTCCTTTTGCTTGCTGGATTGTAAAAGAACTGCCCAAGCACACAAAGGTGAACTACCCACGCGTTCCATGCAGTTGCATGGAGTCTCTTTATAGTGCCAGAAAGATCGGTTTCCGCTCGTGTAAATCTAGCTTACTCGATAGAAAGCTCACGGGTCTGCTCCAGACTCGTTTAGGAAGATGGTTGATCACCGACCTCAAGATTGCCTAGTCTCTAGAAGTCTTCATACAATGCTAGTGTTATTTCAAGCCCAGTCCACAAGCATTGGGAGTTTGATAGGAGCAGAATTCGTGGAGTAACCGATATGAAGACTGACGCTGACTACTTTTCCTCAGATTCCACCTGAGGGCAGAGTCAACCCTGCGTTGCGCAGTTTTCAACGGCCACGTTGCGCAGCAGGGTCAACCGTCCGTTGGACAAAGTCCAACGCGACGACGAGAGTAATGCCGAGAGTGAACGTACGCACGGAGACACAGACGGCTCGCGGGTGGCGAGAGTGAATGCCGGCGCGGAGAGCGGTCAACATCGGTCCAACGTCGCTCCAATATCGGTCCAACGTAACGGTTGACCCTGTTGCGCAGTTTCGCCCGATTAGACACGTTCTCTCGCGCGAACATTCACACTCGCATGCTCGAGCCGTCTGCGTCTCCGCCCATACAGCGTGCGTTGAGGATCTCTCAACGTGCCGTTGCGAACTGCGCAACGCAGGGTTGACTCTGCCTGAGGGTAAGGTGCACTGACCGTAACGAGAGAAGACTCTTGGAAATCAAAGGATAACTGGAGAATGTAGGCCTAGGGTCTCGATTTGCTATGAAAGGACTTGCTTTAGTTCCTATGTCCACTGAGCTGTTAGTAATGACTTAGGTATTAGCGGTATTGATCACTTCTTAACCTGTATTTACCAGGGTATGTTTGTGTACTTCTACTACTCTCAAAGAACTATGCACTCGTTCTAAGAAGTATATGCCGGCAAGAACCATTGTGCTAATCCAGAACAAATATACTAAAGGCCGAGATGGCATTGAGTAAATACCTGCGACGCATGAACGTGACCGTTGCCAATGGTATAGCAGTGACTAAGCAGTTCACATGTAACGGTGTACCGATTTGGTAGTACTGCTGATCGAATACGACCCAGCTGTTCGGCGCCATTATGTCGATTCGGGCGCTGATGCGCTCATTTTGCACATTCACCTAAATACCCAGCTCTGATCGGAAAACGAAAATCGGAACAATAAGAAGTCGCACAAGTAGAATACCTTCCACTCAATGGTCCGAACTGTGTCGAGCAGCTCAATTGTGAGAACGTATCTGAAACGGAAGAATAATATATATAGTTGAAGCGAAACAGAAAATTTTGCAACATTTTCAAAAAAAAAAAAAAAAAACTAAGAAATTTCCAAAGCACCTACATGCCGCTCATTTCCGTGCGTGCATTTTTAATAGCGATTCTTTCATTCACTCGCCCTCCATCTATCCTATCAGTGTTAATTACATGATCATTATCGCTGACCAAATTTTCCGTTTCATTTACGGTTTTCGGTGGTTTGATAGATTTCTGAAATATGCGTAAATAAACAAGTCCGAAAGAATCGATCGATAATAGATCAACAAATAGACAGTGCTACTCACCCGTATCCATTTGGCATTGAAACCGGGAAAATCGTCAGGAAATGCGGCCAATTCGGCAGAGAGATTGATTGAGTTACCCTCTTTGACGTTGACTTCTTGAGGGGTTCTATTAATCACCTTAAAAGTATAATATTTAAAATAATAATTAGTAATAATTCCACCTATATTCCGAATATACAGAAAACGAAGAGTACCTACATTACCTTTTTCCTTTGAAAAGTTAGACTACCCGACTGACCTTGATCTGTCCCTTCTTTGGCGAAACGTCCACATTCTTAGTGATCGTCTGATTCAGTACCGTATCGAAGTACCAACTGCAGCTGTACAGGCCACTATCTTCAGAACTGAGGGGATCTATCGTAATGCTGTGGATAATCCGGTCACTCTGAGTTGCCTTCTTGTGAATCACCGCCGACTGCTGAAGAATATCATTTCCCACTGGCGGTTAGCGAAATATGGTCAAAACGTACTAACTGAGTACAAGTAATAGTACTTACTGAGCATCGCGGACAAGTTAGGTTGATTTGATACTGGTATTTGTTCTCTATCCGACCTTTTCCTTTGAGCTTCAATATACAATTTAAAGAATATGCTCCACCGACGTACGGCCATGGATCCGGCTGGAACAAATTAGAAAAATAAATTTTGTATGTATTTTAAGAATGTATGCGAGTTCTATTCTTACCTCTTCAAAAAGGAATTCGAGATCATTTTTTTGAGTTTCCTGTATAACAATGAGAAATGTGGCCGTATCTGGTGGATAACCCTTGTAGACGCATTGAAATGTTAGCTGATTGACGATCTTCTCTTCGGCATTTTTACTGTTTATTTTGAATCCGATCCTGAAAAAAAAATCATGGAAAATAAAACATGGACCGCTTGCTACTGAAGAAGGGCTATCGATTTTTTGTCAAACATGTAATTAATATGTAATTTTTCTCAACCAACGCTAATATAAGTATGCTTTTTACAATGAATGACTTATCGGCTGCTCCGGTAGCACCACGAGCGTTATTTCGAGCGCAGAGGGAGGCGCGTTTGCAGTTTCAGACGCACGCAGTTGCGAAGCGGTAAGTTTGACTCCATGGTCTGGTGAAATAGCTTATACGTGTATAGTTTGCGGTCACAAAGAACCAAGCGCCTAAACGCACATGGCCTTTTATACGATATTGCCCTAAGAAATGACCACAGTGATTGACTTATTGATTCTGCTGCAGTACCACCATGAGTGTTATTCCGAGGAAGCGCACTTGCAGGTCTCAGATGCGCGCAGCTGCGAAGCGGTTACTCACTGACCTGATGAAATAGCTGATGCATGTAATAGCACAAGATGAAAAATAGCTACCAAACTCAAACATCTATGCACAATCTTTCATGCCGTATCCCTCCGAGAAATGTGACATGAAATGAGCTTTAACTGTGCGGATGCGGAGCTGCAATCCAGAAATAGCACGACAATTATGTATGCTACATTCCAATATTCGCGGGGTGAAGGCAGGGATCAGTCCATTGCGTACCGAGTGGTGCCACACGTGCATCACGCATGCACGCAGAGTTGAATCGCACTGCTTCGTTCATTAAGCATTGATTTAATCCGAAATCGCCAGTGCACTTTTTAGAATCACTAAAGAAAATGTCCTAGTACTGATCTCAAAAGTTAAGCGTTCTGCAAATAGTACGTAATACGTATACTGTCCCCGCGATGAAGACAACTTCCTTACAAAAAAGACACAAAATTAAAAAAAAACTGTAAAGTGCGGTTGCGCATGCTCACGATCCAGGATATCACAAAGGCATGGCACGGTACGCTAAACATGCAGCGTCGAAGTCAGACGCGAAAAACTGTAAGCGTCGCGACGTCGCGCAGTGACTCTATGAACAAACCCAGAGGAAATACTGCAAAGCAATACGCTCTGATTGAAAGTTCTCCAGGTCATGCAGTAACAAAAATTTTTATATATATATATATTCACTTTAAAAGAAAAAGTATTTCAACTTTAAAAGAAAGGTAATTAAAAGAAAATTCTGTAGATAGATATACGTTCTCACCAACCTTGGGTCGTAAAATTTCGAAGCCGTTTTCCAGACTTTTCCATTGGCCCGTAGCTCAACTTCATCCTTGAGGACATGCCGGGAGGATTTGCACGGTATAACAAACTCGGACTCAGAAACAACCAACCCTTCGAAAAGTGTTGGCACAAATGCTCCAGAACCTACAATTCGTAAGTGATTCAACTGTAAACCCTGATCAACATCGAAAACCCTCTATCTGCCAACCACTGAAAGCCATATATAGATTTAACAAGGAAGAAGTCGAACGAGCTCTTGCTGAGCTAGGGCTAACGCAGAGTCGGAGCCTTTGAGGGCCCGGCGCCCTGTGGCCGATGTCAGACTTTGCGAATCGCGCGATTCGCTACTAGCGATTCGCTAGCGTCCGCGGTCGCGTTGCGGTACCAGCCAATTGAGTGATTCACTGGCCGCGACGCGACCGCAGACGCTAGCGAATCGCGCGATTCGCAAAGTCTGACATCGGCCTGTCTTGTGCGCAAGCAAGGAGTTAATTGACTTACAGTGGACTGGCAGCAAGAATAGGGGCAACAATTAAGTTAGAAAGAACTACAATGGAAGATAAGAGCATCAAATTAATTTAAACGTGCAAATGAAGCACAGTTCAGAGGAAACTAGATTCATGTAGCCTAGATTAACCGACTTAGTCCTTGGCAAATAAATATAAAATACAATAAATTGAAACAATAACTGCAATCAGACAGAAAAAAGGTTACGATCAGAAAGGAGAAGACGAATAGAGGATAAAAAAGAATGTGGGATATCAAAGGAGACAAATATGAAAATGCTAGAAACTGTTGTGTCATAGAAACTGCTGACACGTTCTCGGTCCTTTTGTACCAATGACCTGCAGTGGCTTCAGTTGAGGGACAAGGGAATCCCTCGCAAGGCCATATCAGTAATTGATATGAATTTTAGAACTTGGGTACTACGAAATGCCCAAAAGGAGTGGAATCATGATATGCAGTCTTTGCCTATGAAAATTTGTTTTTATGCAGAAGTCGGAATCCGGAAAACGAAAACCTAGGCGAGAAACTATCCATGTGTGAAGTAATCGTAGCACTGAACTCTACCTATCACTGATTACCTCTGAACGAAAGGAATTCAGAAGATGACTAAGCCAATAGGCTTAGTCATCTCATGAATCCATTTCGTTAGAAAATTAGAAAAATAGACCTTTGTTTATTTCGAATCTTGAGACTTAGTGGATTTGAAAATTTTTAGAAAGCTTTTGAGCTGAGAAAAAGTAAGGATTTGTGAGAGCATAACAATCAGTGAAATAAGCGAGTGAGCTCAAAAAACCAAGATCTGACCAAAAGTTCATACCTTTGACAAAAATGTGAATCTCTGAGCTCAAAGATGGATCATCCTTGGAATGGCATTTGTAGGTTCCTGTATCGGATTCCTGAAGAAACGAAGATTAAACTTTTTAGTCACAAAAAAATGCAAGTATGGATTTGGAACTGTTTGCAGATCAAAAAGTCAAAAATAAATGATAGAAGACTGAGTGTATGGCGTTCATCAATCCTTCAGAAAGCGCCAGTCTATCTTAAAACAGAATCGAATTCAGTGGCATGAGATAGCGATGAGGTCTACACACTTGCGGGAATTACACAATCAGTTTTTTATACTACCAGGGGGTTTGTTCCCAACCAAATGCTTCCAGAAGGGTGAAAGCTTTAATTTGCTTGGGCGGGCTTCGATCCAGGATTCGGTCCACTTACCATGGGTGTGAGATACGGCGCCACTTGCCGATGCACCGCGGCATGAGGCAATTATGTTTTGCGATATTTGATGCGCTGTGCATCAGAATCTCTAGAATCAGGACCAAGCATCCTTCAAGGTATCCTCGACGGGCTCATGTTGAGCCGCTGATAGAGGTCTCGCGTTAGGAGGGAATGCACGGTGACTCCGACTGATCGATGTGAATTGAACTGCTTTTTTGAAAACTTTAAGGGCATTTTCAACAGTTTTTGTCGCATCCCCTGTCACTTCTCATTCTGAACAGTGGATTTTAGAGAGGTGAAAGAAAGACACAAGGAGCAGGGAAAGTAAGGGCCGAGGTAGAATTAAGGTGACGGAGGAAGGGGAGTCTTATAAGAGCAGTTTTCCGTCGCCATGCTTCGCCCTGCTTGACGTCCCCAGATGAAATTTCAAAAAGCTCATGTAGCAGCATATATAATATCGGATAGCCTCTTTAAATTATTGGCTCCAGGACTTATTTGCTGATAATTTCAATCATTCCCGAGCCTCTACTCCACCTGCCTGAATTATAAGCCGTTAACCATAAAGCGAAGTTTAGAAAGAGTACGCGTTTGCAGACAATGGGAAGAGCTGTAGCTCCTGGAATTTTTTGGCATTCGCGGAACATTCAAATGTGGTTGTTCGGAATGAAAAAACCATATTTGTCACATTACAAAAGGCATTACTCAGCGTCGACATTTATTTGAATGCTCTATCCCCTTGTCACTTGTCGCCTTGTTACTGGTATTACTACCCCTCAGTGTATGGTGGATGGAGCAGGTAGTGGAGTGTGAAACTACTTTCCACGAAGGCAGTTCCACTCCTGAATCCAACCCCATTTAAACAAAGCTAGCAAGCCAAACTCGACCCTTTTGAAGATGAACGATGCACCAATCACGGCGATCCTGGTGCCCAGCGCGCCAAACAAGAAGGGACGAAAATCGCGATTTTATTCTGCCTCGCTTGGAGGGGTTCCCTTCAGGGTCAAGTCCCCATGTCCTTGTCTACACGAAATGGCATACAAATGCCACGAACGCCATGATTTCGAATGAAACTAGCGTGCGTGGCGCATCCCGAGCTAGGATTGCTCAACGCTGAATCGCTTGCCCTCTTATCCTTATTACTTGATGTGTGTTTACTATATAATACCATTGCCATGGAATGTCATCTGGGAAAATTATTCAATGCTTTGATGAGAGCCGCGATAAAAGTGCACTGCGACGAAATGACAACATTCCGACGTTGCGAAACTGTTTAAGCAAACACTTTTGCAGTCGACAGCTGTTGCAGCTCCAGTGATCAAGCAGTTTTTTCTCCCCAAAAGAATACAATAAATTCTAATATATATGAGTTTGGGTATAAGACAATTACCCTGTCGGTTCCATTATCAACGCTGAAAAGAACCCTGCAAATGGACGCTAGCAAAGTGCCGCCCCACCCCCGCCTCGGTTTACGGACTACTTGATTTTTCCTCAATGGTCCTGCCGCGATGGCTAGAGCACAGACGATTAGAGAATGCCCTAGGACTAAGCCTTGGAGAGGAGAGGGACCCGCTAGAGAGCGCAGAGGCGGTAAAGGGCTGAGTTCAAGTAGTCCGTCAACCCCCCCCCGCCTCCCTTGAAATGTGGAGATGTTTATCCTGCGAATACTGTAGAGGAATCTGCCGTTGGGATGAATAAACTTAATTTCTCTATACGACAACGTTGAGAACAAAATAATAAAAAAACGGATTAAATTGTTAAATAAGGATAGTAATGACTCTGTGAAATTTTAAATACAGTGATCAAGAGAAATTGAAGTTAAATTTAAATAATGAAAGTGTAAATTGCCAATATTAGCTTTTTTATGAAAAAAAAACTACTCAAAACCTGACAAAAATGAAAATAGTTATTGCTGTAGCTGTAAATAGGAAGATGATAGATGAAGGAATAATCAGATTTCTCGGTGCTCATGTCATTAGATGGGGGGAATTGAAGTGAGTGAGCCATCTATAGAACTTATGACTAAGCCTTATGGAGATGAAGGGATTCTGGGAAGGACGTGAGCAACCTTTGTTCTCCCTGGCGTTTCTCCCCCTCCTGGATATAGCCCTAGGGTCACCAACCAGCGGTTTTGAATGCGTTGTTTTGAATGTTACCTTTAAGGACATGGGAGTCGACTTTACATTATTTGTAGATAAGCACTATTACTCCTGAGAAGGGTGAATTAAGCTTTCTAATCCAAATGAATGAAATAAATGGATGCGGTACGATGAGGAGTGATCAATGAGATTACTGTTCACAAGGCTCGATGGGCGGGGTTTGCGAGGTGCTGGGCAACCGAGAGTACAAGCTAGGTAGAGCTCAGATTGGAGCTACCCCATCTGAGGTGCGATTCTCGTGAAATCGACATCTTCCGCACACGGGTTGAAAAATAATACAAGCCGATGCTGTTATCAAATTTTAACATCCATTTTCGATGGGTATGCTATCGATCAAGTTCGCAAAATCAATTACAGCGCTCGTCATACAGCGGTACATTTCGGATTAGCCCAATCAAACGAGATTGAAAGTAGCTGCAGTCCGCTGCAATACCAATTGTTTTTCAAAAGGAAATTAGCGGCCATCTGCCGCCGGCTCCCGTTGACCCTTCCTGGAAACTTATTCTAGAAATTTCGCATTACAAATGCATCAGCGCTGTGATTTCACACACGTCTAGACCTGGTGCAAATCTCTGAACATACTGTCTAACCTGAATCGCGCCAAAGCGCTGACTATAAATACAGATGGTCTCGGAAGACGTCAGAAGCCCAGAGTTACTATAAAGCTGAGCTGAACCCAATCAAGAGATTTATCCGTTGCCGTAGACCTCGCATAACAGCTTCACGAACTTATCAAGTTCCAATAAGTTGGATTAAGAGCAAATATCAAATGAGTTTGGGACCGTAATAAGCACGGGCAAGATTTAGGATGGCATAGTGCAAATGTGAACAGTAAAAGGCAAATGAAAAGGTCAAAGAGATTCAAATCCAGAAGGAACTTTTCAGAAAAGCGTAAATAAATCTTGGCATGATTTATAGATCCAAGAAGTAAAATTAAAAAACTTATTTCCTTAAAATGTCTCGTCTTGGAGAAGAAAAAAAAGGCGAGAAAAAAATACAAAAAGCGACTATGTGGCCGCTAATACTGGCATGATGCTCATCCACCAATGTGAAAAAAACGTTTTTTTTTCACCCCGATCTACAGCCGATTCTTGGAACAGATGTGATTTATGCATAATTACTGCGAGAAAGTTAAACCAAGCGAACTTCTATATACCTTTAAATCCCTAATATGAAGTGTATGACCATAGGCGATATCCTCTAAAGTATATCGTGAATTGAAGTCCTCTTCTGAATAGCCGCGATTGTCGGTCAGGTTCGGGAACGCGAATTCGACAGCTGGAAGAACTCAAAGATCAATACGGAGCACTTGTCAAACATATCAGTGGCAAAATTGATTTGGTTGGGTGGAATGTTGAAAAGTGATGGGTGAGTCAGACTCAGCTCACCTTCGTTGGTAATATCAGAGCATGTTAAACGAATCTCTTGACCCACATCTCGCTGGATAAAGTAACCAATCGTAGGATCATGCTGTAAAGAATACTATTAATTTGTAGAGTAATATTGGTAATACTAGTTGAGAAATAAAGATACCTGAACTTCTCCAGTTTCAGTAGTAAGAGTTGGTGGGTGAAATGCGTGAACGCTAGCTAGTAGAATAAAATAGACTAAATCAAGCAACATGTGTGACCGTCCTCATGAATTGCCTGGAAATTCATTTATTTACTTATTTATTGATTTATTTATTTATTTACTTATACGTCCATGAAAACGCGCCAATGAATTATGCGAAATTAATGCAATCATTAAAAGAAAGAAGAAAGAAGGGCTGGTCAAGGAAACCACCAGTACCCATCCGACTGAGAAGGTGACCCTGAACTTAATATGTTAGGGACAGACATCCTCAAGGGACGAGAAGGCCTAAGCCTGAACTGAGGCAGCAATGGTGTGATATCAGGCAATTACCTACACCAGTCGGCTATGGTGTCCTTTAGTGCCACAATGGGGTCATAGGCACTTGCCGGGACTTCGGCACACGGGTATACCGACCACCCTCGTGGACCCGGCAAGCTAGGTAAAGGCCCAGAATCCAAACCATGCATTCCCAGAACAGGCGTGAACTTCAACCTAAGAAAAGGTGAATAAGGTGTAAAAGGAGGAGCATTTAAATCGGTCCTCAGCGCCTATGGACTAGTATCTCTTCCACCATCACTAGAAAGAGGGGTGCATCGTTCGAATGAGTCTGACTTCAGTCGAAGGAAGTGCTAAATCCCTTGGCCAGTCAACGAATTAAGAAAAGATCAACAGTCATCATCAAATCATAACTAAGAACTATGGAGGAAGAATACAACTGGAAATGAAGCTGATCTTTGTAAAGAAAAGGTAGAGAATGATGAATCGATGGAAATATAAGGAAGAGAGGGTTATGAAATGAGGAGAAACAGATGAGTAAGTGTGAGAGGCGTGGAACCTGTCGGACGCCTCACGATCTCATTATAGAACGAACTACTCGGGGGCCGTTGATACATCGGAGCAGATTCGAACAATCGAAATCGAATAGAAAGCGAATTTTCGTGATGGACCATAGTGGAATGTTCGTATAATAGTCAGTTAATGGTTTGAGCGTCGTTTCCAAATGAGGTAACTGGGCACTATGTGTAATTGTCGCCGAGGCCATGCAAGGTCAAACCCCCCAAACGCAACACTAAACCACACAACAATCGAATACGCGCATCCGTGGCTAGAAAGAAACACCAGTCACCGCTGGTTGAACCCACAAAACAACAGTCTCAATTAATCCCTAGATTACTGTCACCGAGTTGCGGTCAACACAACAACACAAATTACCTCAATGGACGCGTGTGCGCGCACGTACCCGTCAACAAGTATAAAATAACGCACTCGTTAAGGTCAGACCAATCACCGGGATAAATAGGACTCTACGAACCAGCGCTGTGTCAGTGCATGGGAGTCACCTGCGTAAAAGACACAATGAAAAAGTGATCAGAACCACGTGTTGATTTTCGCACCGCTGTGTAGGTGAGTGATTCATGCTCAAAGTCAGGATGATAAGACGAGTCGATCGATCAGTATGACGATCATTCGGAGGAATTTCCTCGGAAATCCTTCCACAATAGTTGCTCAGTTTCCATTTTAACATAACTATTGTTCGTCATCCCGCAACTGTTGCACTAGTATGAAAAACTACGAATCAATCGATAGCAAAACGATCGCGCTGATGTGAGAGAGATGTTTTCCGGAGAGGGCGATCGATAAAACGAGAGCTGATTATGAGCGAATGATAAAGGTGTGATGAGAATGATACGTGATGGCGGATCGTACGACTGACTGACTTAGACAGACCATTTGCTGACCGGTGAAGGTGCGAGGGATGGCGACGAACGGTCGGTCGGTCGGCCGCTGGCGGCCGCCAAGCGATGCGATGAGACGACGATGGTTCGTCGGACTCCCCGACGCTGGCCCAACAAACAATGAGGTCAACAGACTTCGGGCCCAGATACGAGACGTTGTCCATCCAGGACGCCAGTCTCATTCTGGACAGGTAGCACCTATATACAAGCGGTAGGGTGTGGCATGATGGTGGCAGTCGACAACTAGGCGAACAAACACAAATGAGTATTGCTAGCCGCCGAGACCAGAGTGGCCTGCCTGCGATGTCCTTGGCAAATGGGGGTGCCATTATTCAGATACCGGTGTGTAACATTGAATTGCAACCGAAGAGTTGTTTCAACGCTGTGTCTAGGTTTTGCGGAATGACAAGGTTTCCCTACGAATTAACTGGTATTCATCACACTACTAACCACCTTTCGTACAACTAAACCAATATAGGTGGAAACCACATGAAATTTAGTCCATATATACCACAACGAGACAACAGCACCGAAAAAGAGTTGCATAAAATGACATCTCAGCCAGATACTTCAACAAATGAAACCCCCTTGAAAAAAATTGACAAATAACAGAGGAAACGAAAATGGTGCATGACAAAGAAGAGATGTGTCGATGTGGAAGATGTACAAATATTGACGAATCGGCGCATGATTTGACGAAAGGCCCATATGGAGATGCCGAAAGGTTATCCCTACATGGTTAACAGAATCTGAAGTGAAAGCTTCAGGAGAAAAAGCTTCTTTTAAAAAACCTATGCAACTCCCCTTCCTTCACTGGAAATGCCTACCCCCATCGGGAAGGCAGGGGAAGCAGGGTCTGTCCTATCGTTGTTACTTTTCGAAAAATTTTTACGACCCCCTCCCCCAACGTGGATTTGATACGACCCCCTTTCCAACCCCGCCCACTTTTTCCTCCAAAAATGCCGTCGAGCGGGGGGGGGGTATAGTCACTCTGAAACGGTAAATATCTCCGAAAATTTCCTTCTATTTCCACCATTTCAACCCATTTTTTACCTATACTCCCACTACTTCCTTTTCTAGGGGGTATATACGCCCGCTGAAACGGCAAATTTTTATCCTGCGCGCTCGAGCCACTAAAGTGGGTAGGACCCCCTCTCCTACAAACTCAACCAGGTACGACCCCCCGTAGGTAATTGTACCAACGTAGGGTTGACCCTGAGGGGAAGCGATCCCACTTCACTTACGCGTAGTACTCCCATAGTCACTGGTTGGCTCTGGGTAGAAACTGCTTTGAATGGCACTCATAAGGTACCCAGCGGACCCCCTCAAATCTATGCAATCCCGCGAAAAATGAATTCGTCGTTTTTCCTTATGACTTGTCCAGATAGTGGAAACAGTTACAGTTACAGAAACAGTTAGGATACAGTTTGCAAACAAGGAATCAATCAATGGTAATGTGAGGGCCCTAGTTTTCGAAGGTCATCTGAAGGCCCTCAAGTTCCTTTGCAAAGTACCCTGGCTGGCTGATTCAGGCATCAGCTGAGCTGATGAGACCCTTGAGTGCCTCTTTACCAAGCGAGAATGCAGCCTGTGTGATAAGCCAGAAGAAGAAGGGGAAAGTTCATTAACGCTCTATTAAGTGCTACTTAGAAGACCCTTCAGTGCACTGGAGTAATATTGATAGCAGCTAACCAGGTTTGACGAGTAGCTTGGGCCGTGACCTGGCTTGATACTAACAAGCAGGATTGTTAGCATTACACTACAAACAGCTTACTGTGAGGACGCAGAATTGCATTCGTTTTGGTACCCAAAATCTGCGAGTGTCCTGAAATAGCCGTCAGTGGCATACCTAATTACCTCCATGAAAGGATTGGACCGCGCTCAAACCTCTGAAGCAATTTCTGAATTAACAACCTTCAGCTGATAAAGGAGTGATTCTCATTAAGAGAGGAGGATTCCGAGGGAACCGTCCTAAGAAGTGGAAAACCGCCGCTTTTGAAACCAATAGAAATGCTTATCATTTTTATATCTTGACGGAATAACGTCTTGATTTTGACTTTCTTCTCCATTACTTTGAAAAAGTTATAGAACCGAGATTTGGAACTTCCTCTAACTTCCACTAATATCGACTTTTCGAGAATTGACCAAGCATAGTGAAGTAAAACCTTGAGCCACCGTAAGCGACTCGAACTGCTAACCCTTAGATTTAAAAACTAACTTTCAGAGGTTCGAGCCCCCTAAATACATTTAGCATTCGACTTTGGCACGTTACTGAAGGGAGGATCAAGGGAAAAGTACGAATAGTTTTGAAAAATGAACTCTTACAGCAACGACATATACAATGTTAGGTGGTACACCTTGTGTCTTTCATGTGTCACAATATTAATAGAATTGAATATTACATGAATGAATTATAATACAGAAGGGGTCGGAAGGTCCCCCCAAAATCAGGGTGAACCCAGCTTTTGGATTTCAACCAATAAGGAAGGTAATGAAAGTAATACGACCGAAAGAAAGTATACAGGAAAGAGAGCTGAATTGATTCGTTTTGCCTTTCGCTCGTATCACTGTCCACTGCAACCTCAACGGGATAGTTTTGAGTGACCTCACGTGCGATCGTTGATATTAAAGGAATCTTGCGCGGAAAAATCATGATTCTATTTCAGCCATAAATCACTGGCTTGAGACTCATTATCCACGATAATAGTGAAAAGAACTGAAGTATTGCTTTCGTTTTGATTAGAAATTCGAAAACTCGAAAAGGCTGCTACGCGTTCGAATTGCCCACGGACTCTTTCACGAATCTCACGGAGAGCTCAATTCTGGTTTCTTGAGGTGCTTCACTAAACTCTTCTGCTTCCTGCTTGTTGCATTCACTATCTTACAACTATCCATCGTCGATTGTCCTCCCCTCCGAATCCGCCGCATCTACCCGATTCTTCTCTCATTGCTCTCCTGTACTAGCCGGGCCAAACGCCGTCTCTTTCCATGCCTCGCCTGGCTCTGCCTCCTCCTTCGATGGTCCATAACGTGTAGTTTTTGTACGTTTTTGTCTTCAGAAACCGAATCTTCATGCGTGAAACTTTGTGTGCTATTTCCAGTGATCACAACTGACATATTCATGTTAGGAAAGAGTGCAAGAATTTTCCGCGCAAGATTCCTTTAATCATGGCATAAAATGCCATTGCCTTCAACTGTAAGTTAAAGAGTAGTTCTTTTCAGGCAGGATCCATTGCAACTCTACAAGGTTTTCAGGAGCATTTCAAGCAAGTGAACCTAATAGCTCTTTCTTTTCTCAACTTGTTAGGAACG